AATATCCGAGGATCTACCCCTCCAAATGCACTCTTTCCTTCTGACCAAGCAGCGTTTCCCTCTCAGTCGGTAAAGGCCACTACATCTTGAAGGAGTGAGCGTTGACACTAGTGTTGTTGGAAGCCAAGCTTGGGTGCTTTTTACTAACCTACTGTTTTCCTCCAGTGTCCAGTCTACTGCAGTGCATAGTTCTAGGCTGAGTGACACAGTTTTTAACCTTAAGTGAGTTTTAAGATTATAAGAGATGGGCTGGAGAGATGGGTCAGGGGTTAAGAGTGCTAGCTGCCCTCCCAGAGGACCTGGGTTCAATTCCTAACACCCACATGGCCACTTAAAACTGTAACTCCAGTTACAGTGGATCCAACATGTCACACAGATACACATGCAGGCAAAACACCAATGCAAGTAAAATAAAAGTGAATTTTTAAAAAGTCTTTTAAAAGGTTATAAAAGAACCAGTTTTCAGCCTCAGATGCTGTACATTCTGACTGGGCCAAGGCTCCCTTTGGTGCTAGTAAGCAAATCAATCTACCCAGGTTCAGCGGTGCTCCTTTCTGAAGAGACTAGCCTGTTCTTGCAAGCTGTCATGTGATTGGCAGGCTGAGCAAATGGGTTTGCCTAGCTTAATCCTCCCCCATTCTCCCTGAAGTAAATGTGTTCTTCACAGACAAAAAACCCACTGCAAGCCTTTAACCTTCCCCAACTCCCTCTGAAAATACAAAGCACTCAAGGTTATTCTGAACTGGAGGGAATTAATAGGGAGGTGGACCATACTCCCAACACTACCTTCTGTCTTTGAGAATCCATGTCTTTCTTAATATGCTTCTGCCCTGATTCCCAGAGCCCCAATGGAACTAGGGCAGTCTGTCTAACTTGGAAGGCTGGAGGTTGATTGCTTCTCTGCCAGCATCAAGGCCGCTGCCCACCTTTTAGCAGTCATTGAAAACACACCACTTTAAACATGGGCAGCAGTGTTGGCCAAACAGCATACAAAGAAAGGCCTGAGGTACAGGCTCTTTGAGGCCAGGCAAAATGCACTGGTTTTCACAGCTCATGTTCACCATTAAATACTACTCATTCCTTGAAGAGTGACTGGAGGTGCCAGGCTACCCTGTGTGTAAGTCACCTGGCCTGCTGCCTGTGGTGGACAGTACACATGTTCCAAGTGTACATGGGCAAGCTGAGTGTCTCATGCATGTTAGGCCCACTTTTGATGTGTCTATGCTGCCTCCAGCTAGTGGCCTGAAATTATCCCTCTATGGCAGTAGGATTCCAATTCTCCTGGCCTCTAAAGGGAACTACCTCTGTATCTGGGAGCCTGACACAAAAGGTTCAGAAGGAAGCTGAACAGGCCTGGGGCCAGCTTACTCCCTTCACTGTTGCCTTTGTCTCCCACTGTCCCATTGCTGTCACTTTGCCACTTCATTCGCACTGCAACCTGGCACTGCCAGTGAGTGCTCTGTTGACTTCCCTACCACTCAGGATCCCAGAGTTGCCAGCCTCCTATCACCTCTGCCTCTTCTCACAGAGTGATTTTGGACAAGATATTTGTCCTCAGGTTCCCCATGTGAACTAGCGAATATGGCAGGAATTCTATGAGAACAAAGTTCCTGGTGTGAGATTACAGCTGGTGACTGTGCAGCCCAGACTCCTGAACCCACTGTTCCCTTAGCCTGACACATCTGTGCCCTAGGCAAGGCTGGGTCCAACTCTCCTCAGCCTCTGAGGTCTCAAAAAGTGAATGCCTGACTGCTGTGCCTTTCTCTTTGCATCACTGATCTGGGTGCAGAAGGGGTAGTGCTGTCTACTCAACCAACCCAGTGAGGAGACTGTCAAGTGGACTTTTGTGGACATTAGCCCCTGATGATGGCATCAGTGTTGTTCTTTGTCTATGCCAAGTGTGCACTAGTGGATGGTGCACAAGATAACTGTTGTGGAAACTCTCAGCCTTTGAGGGACCACCCCCTCTGGGTAGGGTCTCGGGTGCTACTTTCAGACTGGGAGGTGATCTCTCTCTCGGAAGCTGGCCCACACAAGCCCAGATAAAGGAAAGTCAGGTATTTATTGGGGAATCAGTCATGAATGACAAAGCAAGGTAGAGAACCACCAAGGTCTTAATGCCCTTAGGCGCTGGCATCTCTGAGACCACCACCCAAGAGAGCTCACCTCCCAGTCCGCATGCACGCACATAGCACCTGAGACCCTGCCCAGAAAGGGCCGGTACCTCAAAGACTATTGGCTGAAAGAGGTCCCCCAACAGATAACTTTATGGTATCCCATGACACTAAACTCTCCTCCAAAATAGACTCTTTTCTGTCTACCTGTCACCTACCTTTTGGTACTAGACAGCCTTCATTCAACTGTTTTTCCCACCCTGGTCAGATGAAACTAACATCCCACTTATTTTTAAGACAGGACCCAAAGAGGTACCTGTGCCAGAGAGCTTGCCTGAAACACATGGCACCATCCCTGTGACATCCTGTCTCTGGGCACAGGCCCATCCTCTTTACCTACTTCCTCACATCCTGCTTTTCAATCTACCCTCCTTCTCCTCAGCATTCTTCCTTTTCCTCATCATTTAACCCTTATAAGTCCAGGTGTTGGAGGCCTGAGGCAAAAATGTATATAATTGCCTTGATTTCTTCCTAGTAGCTCACCCCATGTGACCTTTGATCTCCTTTGAAGCCCCCCAAATTAAACATCGGGAGTCTTGAGTACCCTTTGGCCATTCCCATTGACTAGATTCCCACTAACCAGCCATTGACTAGGGTAGTGTCATCAGCCCTGTGGTGGTAATGAGCACTTAGTTCCTGAGTCCTCAGTTTGGTTGGGGCCTGCTAAGGCATTGCACAATGTCAGCTTTGTCCCTTCCTCTGAAATGAGGAAGTCACCTGCACAGTCCAGGCCCTCAGCCCCATTGTAGACAAAGGGTTTCCCCAGCAGCCACTGGACACCTGGTATTTTTATTTAAGTGTACACGGAAGTTTATCTTGTGCAGGTGTTTTGTGTGTGTGTGTGTGTGTGTGTGTGTGTGTGTGTGTGTGTTTCTCTGTGTAACAGACCTGGCTATCCTGAAACTCACTTTGTAGACCAGGCTGGCCTCAAACTCATAGAGATCCACCTGCCTCTGCCTCCTGAGTGCTGGGTTTAAAGGTGTGTGCCACCACTGCCCAGCCACAGAAAGGTTTCTTGCAGTGTGACCTTAGACTGCAGACCACAGGCTGGATGCCTTTACAGAAGATGACTGATCAAGTATTATTATAGTACAATACAGTAATAATCAAAAGCACAGTTCAAGCCTTGTGTGGGTGTGGCTGCTGTTTACTCTGAGGAAGGAGTTGGGCTTACAAAACACATGAGGAAGTTACAAAACTTAAGAAATCCCCTCATATTTCTGTCATCCTCCCTACCCCCAATTTTGTGTCTCCACTGTGCGTCAACCTGTTCTTTTTGGAAAGACAGGAAACGGGCCTCAGGAGTCTCCACCAGAGAACAAACATCCTGACTGCAGCAGGTATGGGGACTATGGGGAAGCCTGGAGATTGGGCTGTATGGGCAGGGCAAAGCCAAGGGTTCCATGTCCTGCCAAATGGAGCATAGATTCAGCATAATGAAAGCCATGGTGCTGGTGAGCCAGGTCCGCACGGCTGATGTTCTAAGGCCTCATGTGTGAACTGGGTATCCACCAGTTCAGCATACCCCTGGACAAAGCTCTAACGGCCTTCTGGACCTCCCTTCTTCCCTCTCTTGGAGCTGTAACTGTTTATATAGTCACCTTTCAACTGCCAGATTTGTTTTTGTTTTTTTTTTTCTGAGACAGCATCTCACTATGGTACCCTCGGCTGGCCTCGAATTCCTAGAGATCCTGGACTCTTGAGGGTTGGGATCAAAGTAGTACACCACTACGTCCAGCCAGCTGTCGGGTTCTTTACCGACACGCTTAAGACTACAAGCACAAATCCTGGAAACTGCTAAGTGTGAAAGGCCAGGTGAAGTGCCTCAGACTCACATGAGTGCAGATGCCCCAGGCACAGCTGGCACCTGAATACTGATTCTGAATGCTTTCAGGTCCATGCCCTGGTCATGAACAACAGCAGGATAGCAAGAACCTATTGGGCAGCCCACGTCCACCAAGCTGGCCTGTGTTGACCCACAAGGTCGCCTGCAATAATAATAATAGTAATAATAATAATAATAATAATAATAATAGTAATATAATATAGTAACAACAGGGCAGGATATAGGTCAGGGGTAAAGGTCAGGCCGCAAGTCAAGGAGGCAAAAAGCGGGAAGGGATCTGGTGTTGCTCTTTTCTGTGGCGCTGAGACAGTCAAAAAGCCCAGGTCTTCTGCCTCTCTTGAGGCCTCTGTTCCGCTTATTTTGCTTCTGCCTCCTCTCTCCACTCTGTCCCCGCCCACTCTACCGCTCTTCCTCTCCTCTCCCCACCCCTGTGTGCCTTACCTCCTCCCCTCTATGCGATTCGTCATCCTGTGCTGTCCTGCTCCCACCCCTTGTCCTCATCCAGTTCCGTTACTCCCTGCCTCGGCTCCTTTGCCGCTTCTCCTCTGTCCTGCCCACATCCCCTCGGCCCCGCCTCCCCCTGGGGTCCTGCCCCTTCCTGTCGGCCCTGACTCCTCCCCTCAGGTCCTGCCCACTTCCCCTCGGCCCCGCCTCCTCCCTTCAGGTCCTGCCCACTTCCCCTCGGCCCCGCCTCCTCCCCTCAGGTCCTGCCCACTTCCCCTCGGCCCCGCCTCCTCCCTTCAGGTCCTGCCCACTTCCCCTCGGCCCCGCCTCCTCCCTTCAGGTCCTGCCCACTTCCCCTCGGCCCCGCCTCCTCCCTTGGCCTCGCTCCTCCCTCCTCGGGTCTCCCTCCCACAGCCTCTGATCCCCGGCCTACGACAGGCAAATGAGAAACCCGAGGTTTGGGTACCTGTCACTACTTGCGGCTGCGCGGCCTTACCCACGTGCTCCGCAGCGCATGCGTGTGGCTCGCGCTTGCGCACTGCCCGCCTCGGCGCTGTGCTGCTTGGTGGTGCCGGGCTCTGGACCGGGCGGCCATGGGGTGGCGGGCGGCTGGGTCACTGAGGGCCAGGTAGCAGTAGGGCGGCAGGGACCGCTGGCTCGGCCCAGCATGTAGACGTCCACGCGGGCGCGCGGCAGCCGACGGTGAGTGCGGGGCCTTGGGTCGCCATCTGCCCGGCGTCACCTGCCGCCGGAGGCCCGTGGAGGCCGGGTCACCGCGCCGGCCCTGCCCACCTGCCCGAGGCCGGACGCTGGTGGCACTGACGCGCCTCTCCGCGTCCGAATGTGGTGTGGGCTGCGGCCAGGATGACGCGTGGTCTCGGGGACCAGCCTGTGGGACAGATCTGAGGATCCGGCCGGGGGAGGGGTCTGGGGCAAGAGTCGGAGGTTCGGGTCCCGGGAGAAGCCGGGGAGGCCTCTGTTCTGTTCCTGGCCCTGGCTGGATCAGCGCGCAGCACCTCAGCCGACTCTGCCCCACTGGGGCCTTAGCTAGCAGGAGAGGGCTTGGCATGTGAAACTTCGGAAGCCAAAACTAGTGCAAAGTAGTGAGTTAAGCGTTTTGTAAACAGTTGGGGTGTGGAATCTCCAGAATCACGTTTTAAACTTGCTGTGCAGTGATTGCCAGAAAATTCCAAAGCCCTGAAGAGTTCCTAGAGGCAACTGCCTCTTTTAACTCAGATGTCACATTCACAGGCCACTGGTCTTGTGCACTGGCAGCTTTCTTAATTGTGGGAATAGGGCGTGCCCATCGCAGTCATTCCTTCCTTGGCCAAAGCCCGGCCTCTTTTACCAGCTCTCCTCCCAAGCAACAGGCTTTCTCCTGGCTTTGATTCTGAATAGCAAATTATTTTTCTTTTCTTGTTTGGTAACAGCGTCTATTTCAGTTCAGAACTTACTCCTTTGGCTCTTGAGGAGAATGTTTTTCAAAACTACATTACTTTATTTCATGTATCACTGCTGGTTGTCACAGGCCTGATGATGGCGTCCTTGCCTTAGTAATTTAAGCATCTTGCTGGATGACACATTTCAAGAACCTCACTTTCCCTCCCAGCATTGCTGTCAGCCTGTAGTGACCTCCTGTCCCATGGAATTTCTTGTAGCATGCTTGTCCTCAGCCGTCACTTCACTATGACTTATGCAGCCCCATCTTGTGTTCTGGGACAGCCACCTGTGCCAATACACCACCTGGACCAGGTATCGTCATTTGGAGGTGGCATCTCAAAATGTTTCTGCCTTCTCTCCTTTTTGGAGTTATTTATTAAAACTATTGTCGGGGCTGTTGTTTTATTCCTTTTGTCTTGTTTGAGGTGCTACAGATACTTCCCTGATGCTCACACATGGGACAAAAGCTGTCCCACTAAGCCAACCCCCTCAACCCTCCTCCCTTTTGGGTAGAAATGACTAGCAGATAACACCAATGTTTAGATTAAGTTAATTGTTTAGCACTCTGGGCTTCACTTGGAGAATGGAGAGAAGCAAATGGCTTACTTTTTTAAAGAAATTATATGGGGAAGGGGTGGGCATGAACATGCTGTTGCTCCTATGGGAAACAACTTTCAAGAATTGGTTTTCTCCTTCTACCATGTGGGTTCCATGGATCAAACTAAAGACATCAGACTTGTCAGTAAGTGCCTTTACCTGCTGAGCTATCGCTCTTATTCTTTGTTTTTTAGTCTTAACTTCATGTATCCCAAGTGGGTTTCTATTTCCCTGTGTAGCCAAGGATGACTGAACTTCTTGTCCTCTTATATGTACCTCTGCATGCTGGCATTACAAGCATGTACCAACCATATCCAGTTGGACTTTTTCTTGTTTTAATGTGATATTGGGAATCAGGCCAGGGCTTTGTGCATGTTAGACGAGCTCTATCAACCGAGCTACATTTCCAGACCTCAGGCATTTTTCCTTATTTTTTAAAGATTTATTTATTCATTTATTATGTATACAGTGTTCTGCCTGCATATATGCTTGCACACCAGGGAGGGCACCAGATCTCATTCCAGATGGCTGTGAGCCACCATGTGGTTGCTGGGAATTGAACTCAGGACCTCTGGAAGAGTAGTCAGTGCTCCTAACATCCTAGCCATCTCTGCAGCCCGTGTTTTTACTTTTTAAAGATTTATTTTATTTTGTATGTATGTGTATGCATGTGTGTCTGTGAGTGGTTAGGAGTACAAGTGCCTGGGAGGCAGGAACAGGGTGTGGCAGATATCTTGGAACTGGAGTTATAGGTGGCTGGGAGTTGGGAAGGAAAAGCACGAGGAGCAGCAAGTGCAGGTGGCTGGCCATAAGGAAGTGGATTCACCTGCATCTTTATTGCCTCAGATCTGCCTTTTTCCTGGTAGAACAGCAAGAGAACTCTGTGCAAGAATGTCAGCACCGCCAGGAGGAGGCTTGGGAGGACCAGAGGACGGGCTGTGGCCTCAGGCTCCACTTTCTATGCTTTCTTAGATCTGTTATCAGTTACCATGGGCTCTAGCCCTCCTGAAGGAGGATATGTCACTTTTCAGCCCCCAGGAAAGCAGGCTTGTTGTCTGTGATGGTTGCTTATCATATTCCATGTCCTGACCCACAGCTGCCATGCTCCTAGGGTTACTGCATAAGAACAAGTAAATTTATAAAAACTAATGTTTGGACTAAGACAGAGGTGATGCTAACGTATGCCAGTGCCCTCCACTGTGCAGTGGAAATGGGTGGTACCACCTGACCACTCAGCCTCCTAGACCTGTCTTCCTGTCTGCACTGAATTGGTGGAGCCTCAAGAACACCTCCTTCAGGTCTATGAAACTGTTCCACCACTAGATGGGTTCTGTGATCCCATTCTTTAGAACTTTCCAGAAACAGCACACTTTCCCCACCTCTCTGCTAGCCTGGATATCATTTACTTGTAGAAATGAGGTAGGTATTAGATAATCTCTAAGGACCTGGACAGTGTGGCTCACAGGAGTGATGCCAGCCTGGTCGATATGGCAACACCTGTCTCAAGAAACAAGTGAACAAAAAGCATGAAACTTTTTTTTCAGCTTGGTATTAACGAAGTTAAACATTTCCTCATTACTCTCACTAATTTTCCTTTTCTTTTTTTTTCCTTGTTCCTTCTTCATTTGTTCTTTTTTAAAGAGTCTGACTTTTGTAGTCCAGGTTGCAGTCATGCTTGGTGCTTGGGTAACTAACACCTGGCTTTACTTTTCATTGACTGCTTCCAGATGTATTTGTTTGAAGTTCACAACTTATATGTAGTATGTTCTCCTACTGGCTCTCTCCTAGTGTGCACTCGGGCACTTTTTTCCTGACTGTTGTACATGTATTTATTGACATCTTGGTGTTTTTTATGCTACTTTCATAAATTCTTTAGGAATACTCCATTGTGGTGATCCAGGGCTTTTTCCAGGCCTGCCAGGGCTATAGTGAGACCTTGTTTCAACAAAAAAATTCCAGTAGGTTTAGCCAAATGGACCTACCTCCACCACCTGCCTCAGCATCTTAGCAGTAACTTTTACTTCACTTTCAAGACCTTGCTTGGAAGAGTCACCTAGCGGAAGGTTCAGGACAAAAGGCTGCAGCATTTAAAAAAACAAAACAAAACAAAAAAAAAAAAAAAGGAAACGGAATGATGGTTCAATCTGGACAGACTGAATTCAATCCCAGGGACCCTCAAGATAAAAGGAGACAACAGATTTACAAGTTGTCCTCTGGCCTCGGCATAGAGACCATAGCATAAGAACATGTGTGCAAAAGGTCATGAATAAATAAATAAATGAGCTAGGACCTGGGAGACCCAACAGTCCATATTGTCCTGCTGCTTGGACAAAGGCCAAGTGCAAGATGTACCAGGGTCTGTGTAACCTCATGACCAGGACAAGGCTGTGCACGAGCCCAGTCACATTCTGTTGGTGGTGCACTCAGAATTGCTGTGGGGTCTCATCAGCCCTAACTTCAGAGATGCCTGTGGCACCAGTGTGTGTGATGTGCTGTCATCCCACACCTGCTCATCAGCTCCATGGGGATGGGGTGAATCCCATGGGGATTGGGCTTTCACTCTAGAGCAGAACAGGCAGGGGGACCCAGGCTGTCAGTGGATATGTGCTGCTGCCCACCACATCTAGAGCAGAGCCCAGGGAACCCTCAAATGCCAGTGTAGACACTTGCCCCTAACACACAGTCTTTTTGTGACAGTTGGCATTTGACAAACCATCTGCTCTGTCTAGTAATGACCTGATAAGGCACTGTGAGGAAGGCCAGCACAGGGCACAGACACCCCCAAGGCCTCGGCCAACAGAAACCCATGAGCTTCACCAGGCAGCTACTTTCTAATTTTTAAAATTACATTTGTTTACATAGTTTTGTGTGTAGGGTTCAGATGTGCACAGCACATCTGTGGAAGTCAGGAGAGTTGGTTTTCTCCTTTCATAGGGTGGGTCAAAGGAATTGAACTCAGATCCTCACATTTGAATGTGGATGTTCAGGAATGGACTAAACCTGAGGAGACTTGGGCATCTGAGCATAGAGAGAAGATGAACTATACAGTGAGGCCTTATCGCAAAAAAAAACAAAAATATTGTTAGTATATGCTTGTATTTTCATTTTCTTAGCACTGTCATTTAAGAAGTAAAATGGGTGTGGCAGCATAGGCTTGTAATCCTAGTTACTGGGGAGATGGGCAAGAGGCCAGGATGATCACAAGGTCAGAGACTGCCTGGATCACAGGCAAGACACTGGAAGACACAGTATTTTTTTTTTACACACACACACACACACACACACACACACACACACACACACACACCAGGTTGGAAGTACAGCTCAGTGGCAGAGTACTCCATAGCAAGTGTAAGACCTTGGGTCTGATTCCTAACAAAACACAGAATAGGGGCTGCGGAGATGTTTCAGCGGTTAAGAGCACTTGCTGCTTCTCCAGAGGTCCTGAGTCCAATTCCCAGCAACCACATGGTGTCTCACAGTCAATCATCTGTAATGAGATTTGGTGCCCTCTTCTGGCCTGCAGGCATATATGCAGCAGAATGTTGTATAGATAATAAATCTTTTTTTTTTTTTTTTTTTAAGAAGTTAGTTCAGTTTTCAGTCTTTTTGACTGGCAATCCAACTGTAACACTACTTAAAGAGGTTCTCTCCTTATTGAATCACCTCAGCACCTTTGTCAGTACCCACTGGCTGGGCTGGGGTTTAACTTAGAGAGACACCCTGTGCACTCACAACACACAAATGGTGGTTGGGGTCTATTTCTGGACAACCTGTTCTGTTTTTTAATATTGGAATTGAGCAAAGTGCCTTGTGCTAGGTAAGCCCTCTACCAATGGGCTATATCCTCACCCTTTTTATATTTTCGAGACTAGAGTTTTTACTGCCCCAGGCAGGTCTTGAACCTGTCATCATTCTACCTCTGCTACTAGGAAATAGCTCACATAGCTAGGATTACAGGCCTGTATCAACATCCCCAGCTGTTCTATTTCTTTGCTACATAGACCTAGCTGGCCTCAAATTTGCAGTGGCCTTCTGTTTCTGTCCCCCAAATACTTATTCTGATTTATATGATTTAGGTAGGAGGCATAGATAATGTCTGGGTTTGTTTGTTTTGTTTTATAAAGCCTCCCTGGTGATTATAAAGTGTAGCCAGGTTAAGAACTATACCTGTTCCGTTACCTTTGACCATAGCATGGGTTGCAAAGGTTTGTCCATAGCTCTGTCTTCTTCTTTCCCTGCCATGGTTGTACGTCTTAGTTGCAAAGATGGGGTGGTTCAGAGGAGTAGATTGATGTTCTCACAGTCATGGAGGCTGAATTCCAAGACCATCAGGTACCAGCCCACCCAAGGAGAACTCTTCACAGGTACCTCTGCAGCTGATGTTGGGCAGGTTTGAAAGTGGAGGGAGATCTGATACCTTTTAAAAGGCACTGATTAGGGCAGTGGTGGCCCTGGCCTTTAATCCCAGCATTTGGGAAGCAGAGGCAGGAAGATCTCTGTGAAGCTCAAGGTCAGCATGATCTACAGAGCAAGTTCTGGGACTTCCAGGGCTACACAGGGAAACCCTTGAGGGGAAGAGGATAGAAGAAGGCACTAAAAGACACCAGGGCCCCTCCCTGTGACTCACTTCCTCAGAAGCCCTTCTCCAAATATAGTCACAGTGGTAGTTAAGGCTTCAGGATAACTTCAAGCACAGTGCTGGGCCTGGTGGTGTAGGTCGTCTGTTATCCCAGCTACTTTGGAGGCTGAGGAAGAAGGATCTCAAGTTCAAGGCCTATGTGGGTAACAGAGTCTCAAAAGTAAACCAGTGTGGGGTATAATCCAGTGGTAGAGCTTTGCCTACCACCAGTGAGGTCCTGGGTTCAGTCTACATTATTGCTAGGGGGAAAAAAAAAAAAAGCATTTAGACACAGCACTATTTCCTCTGGGATGTAATAACTTTTTTCTTTTTCAAGAAGGGTTTCTCTATGTAGACCAGGCTGGCCTTGAACTCAGAGATCCTCCCTGCTACCTCTGTCTGGATTAAAAGTGTTTGTCACCAGGCCCAGCTACTTCTCTTCTCTGATGGCAAAATACAGTTATTTCCTTATTAAGCATGGCTTGTGTTGAGTGCGTGCTTGTAGCACATTCTCCATCCAGGCTCCTCGTTTTTGACTCATCAGGTTGGTCTATGGGCTTGTGAAAGATTGTCATGACTGTTGATGTAGGAGGAACCAGCCCATTGTGAGTGGTACCATAACCTGTCCAGCTGTTCCTGGGTGGTGAGTGGCTTTACTCCATGGCTCCTACAGGGCTTTGCTATGACTTCCCTCAGTGATGGCCTGTGAACTAGATATGTAAGCTAAGTAAATCTGTTCCTCTCTTAAGTGCTTTTGTCAATGTTTATCACAGCAACCGAAAAGAAGCTAAGACCCAGTTCTTCCAGTCACTTAAATGAAACTAGTTGATTAAAATGTAACCCTGACTGGACTGGAATTCACAGAGCTCTGCTTGTCTCTGCTAGTTTTGTTTGTTTGTTGAGACAGGGTCTCTATTTTGTAGCCCTGGCTGTCCTAGAATTCTCTTTAGACCAGGATGACTTCATACTCAGAGATCCTGCCTCTGCCTCCTGGCTTCATGGGCTTTCGTCCCCATGCCTAGCCTTTGTAGTTTTGTTTTAAAGACAGGAGTCTAGTTGTAGCCATGACTGGCCTGGATCTGATTGTCCCCGCTGCCTCCCTAGGGGTGGGATTAAAGGCATGTACCACCACTACCAGGCCAGCTCGTTTTATTCCATTTCGAGTTTTGTTAGTTCACTACCACTCATCCTCAGAAAATCTAGCTCAGTTCTAGGGGAGTAAAAATAAACTTTGTGTTTGCCTGGTTTCACTGTCTGGATGTTGCCCAAGAGGCTTCCCATGCTGACTTTGGCCCAGAGTGGTCTGGGAGAATGTTTCAAAATTCCAAGTGGAGAGAGGCTTTTTTTTTTTCTTCCTTTGTCCCCCCCCCCCCCACGAATTTTATTGAGCCATGGTCAGAATTGTGCACCTTCAAGACATTTGGGACTTGAAGTTGTCTTGGAAGGTTATTACAGTTCAGTTCTGATGACTTTCTTTGGTACTGACTGACCTTGTAGACTTTGTAGGGGTGCACCCCAGCACATACCTGCTCTTCAACTGTTAGAGAATGAAAAGTATATTATTGTGCTGCTCTCTACACCACAACTTTATGTTTTGATCTTAATTATTTGGCCACAAAGGCTGCTGTGTGTTGCTCTGTGTCCATCCTTCCAGAGACCCTTTTATCTAACTGGGTTATTTTGTCCTTACTTTCCCCTATCTTTAGATTGGTTCAGAAACACCAGTGAGGGGTGAAGGCACATCTTAGTCATAGAGCACTTAGCTGGAATGTGCTAGGCACCGGGTGCAGTCTCTGGCACTGAAGAAAAATGACAAGAAAGATTCTGAGTTCTTAGCTGTCTTTAGGGTGAAAGTAGCATATTATTTAAGAAGTTTGGAAAACCAAAACCTGGCAGTTTTTTCCTGTTGCATGTGACTTTTCTTAGGGAGTCTGTTTTGGTTTTTGTTTGTTTGCTTTTGTTTTGTTTTGTTGGTTTTTCAAGACAGGGTTTGTGTAGCTTTGGAACCTGTCCTGGAACTTGCTCTGTAGACCAGGCTGGCCTCACACCCACAGAGATCCATCCCCCTGCCTCTGCCCCTTGGGTGCTGGGAATAAAAAGGCATGCACCACCACCCAGCAGGAGTCTGTTTTCTGTTCACCCAGATAGAGAAGGTGTTGATAAATGATCAACCAAGTTCAACAGTTTATTGAGGTTACTTACTGGATCCTGGGTGACTCAGACAGCTGTATCAGTAGAGTCTTTTCCCAGTAGTGTTATATCTTCAGGGAAGTGAGGGGCTTCAAGAATTTCCCTCATCCTTCCACAAGGAATATCCCGAGGGTCTTATGGGAGCAAGACTACAGTTGTTCAGATAATCACAACCAACATTTCCTTGGATAGACTGAGTGTTTATTCCTGCTGCCCACATACATTGACTTTTTTTATTTTATCAAATTAAGGCATCGGTGTTTTTCTCATATCAACTATGGAAATGGAACAAGAAAAGATGAATGTGAGGAAGGAGTTGAGCCCTGATTCAGCCTCATACCACTGCTCAGCATGTCATGGGGATGAGACCTGGAGCTACAATCATCCTATCAGAGGCCGGGCCAAGTCTCGGAGCCTGTCAGCCTCACCTGCCCTGGGCAGCACCAAGGAGTTCAGGTAGGACCAGAAGTATTCGTTCTCCTCTCGTGCCATGGTGGGACATGTTAAGATTCTTGCAGAGGACACAGCCTGTATCAGTGTAGTTTAGCATTGCTGAAGTGTGAGTTTTGTCCACAGGGTGGGGCTGGGCACTGCCCAAGTGGTGCTGACCTTAGCAGAGGGATCAAACACTGTCCACGAGATTTGTGCTGGGCACTTGTTACCAACTGGCATGTGCCAAATATAGGCTACATCATGTTTTTCTTTCTTCCTCAGCATAGAACCACCCAGCCAGAACCGTGCTGACCTTCGGTTAGGCTGGTAGGAAAGCATGATTGTGCTCAGGAATGAAAGAAAGAAGTGCTGGTGGGACAGAGGTACCATGTGACCTGGAGCTTTCAGCTCCTCACACACAGGCCACGGGGTCTCAAGTGCAGGTTGTATGGCACTGCCTCCCTTTGCTGCAACATAAAGCCTCAGGGGAAGGTCACCTGACAAGCATGGGACTCCACGCACATCAGGAGGTGTTCTCTCTCCTGGTGACAATCACTGTTAAGTTTTAGATGGAAGCTTGCCAGAGACTGCCACTGACTGCAGAACAAGGGTCACAGCTGTGAAATGTGAAGACAGGCTCTATAGTGAGGAGCCACTTTAAAACCATTCATGGAGTCTTTTCTATGAGATATAATGATCTCACAGAGCTCCTACCTGGTAGCAGTGGAGGAACAGGGAACAGGGGCAGCTTCAGGTTCTATGTAGAAAGTTCTTTGTGTGAGAGATGGCTACAGTGAGGCCAAGTGGCCAGTACCTTTGCTCTGGGTACACAGCTGATCACGCACTGTCCTCTCTTGCTTGTGCCTTCACCACTATGTTTGTACCCTGCCAGCTTTGGGCAGAATTGCCTTAGCTGCTGGTTTGTGTGGGTTTTGGCATAACATTTTTTTTTTTTTGGTTCCAGGGACATTGAACCTGTGAAAGTGACTGTAGGTCAGGACAGCTTCTGTAGTTGATGGCTGATGCCATGGGGCAGCATGGGGATAAGCAAATTTGCCCCTGCCATCTGTCCTTCAAGGAGGATAGAGGGAGTACCTGCTGACTCTTGTCCTTTGCAAGCCCTAAATTTCCTGCCTGGTAGCCTTTAAGTTCCTACAAAAGTTGATATTTGTGATATTCTGTATAACTTTTTAAAGACTTATGTAAATAACCCAAGCTTGGTGATTCATACTTGTAATCTTAGAACTTCAAAGGCTGAGGTGGGAAGAACACAAGTTTAAGGCCAGCCTGGACTACAGGCTATAGGGAGGCCCTGTTTAGTACATAAAGGTCTTCAGCAACCAATGGACTCTTCCCTCTCCAGTAGTCAGCTGTCTGGTCTGGCCAGGCTCCCTGACCCTGAACGCTGCCCATCCCTCAGAAGCAGAGCTGTCTTTCATTGCGTCATCAGGATCAGAAGGTTTTTGGATTTGGAGACAGGCAGCTGAAGGAGAAAGCAAATTTGAAGGCTGCACTTGCTAACTCAGTGTTGTTCTCTTTGGTCTGGGGTTGGTGAGACCTGCGTGGAATGTCCCAAGAAGAGCAGTCCCAGTGCTGATTTGGTCTGATTTGTGCTGATCCCCCCCAGAAGCATGGGGAGCACAGACTGCTGCTGTCCTTGACCATGGCAGGCTGCAGCGAACCCATGTTAGGATGCTCAACTGGCTGGGTCACTTTTCAGAAGGAGGGAAGGCTGGGTTGCTCAATTAGTATCTGTGTTATAGACACATGTGCTCTAGAGCAAATATTTCTGCTAGAATGTTCATCTAGATTATTCAGGGTGGTGCCAGCTTTTGACTCCCGATTATAGCCCACAGACCTGCTGAGAGGTGCTGTGTTGGGTCCTAGGCTCTCGCCAGGCCAGTGTTTTCCTGGCTCTTACTAGACTTGTCCCTTCTTTGGTTTGGGATCAGTGTCCACAGGAGCCTGTCCAGGTCAGCTTCCATGTCTCATTACTGCTACAGGGGACCTGGGCAGCAGTGAACTCTGGCATAGCAACCTAGACCAGGGCAGGACGGACCTCTTGGGCCTGCCATGTGAATGCTGTGGATAATGGAGCTAATGTTGTTTGGGTTCCTTGGAGTTTGGCAGGGCCTGACATAGCCCATGTCTGTCTTGCTGCCTGTCCCCTCCTAATTTGACCCTAACCCCCACTGTGCTCCACAGGAGGACCCGCTCTCTCCATGGGCCGTGCCCAGTGACCACATTTGGACCAAAGGCGTGCGTGCTACAGAACCCCCAGACCATCATGTGAGTTTCCCAGACTTGGTAAGGGGTGGGGGTTCGGGGTCCTTGGGAGTATTATGGGATGCCCTGTGTAGGGTTCTGAGTTCTTTAAAAATCAAAGCCAAGCCGGTATCTTTTAGAAACCTTATGTGTTAAGAGACCCTTAAGTGGAGAGTCTCACTTGGTGATTTCTCGAATGGCTTCCGGAGGCAGAGGGTAACTTTCTGTTTTGGTACACATCTGTAATCTGGCACTGGGTTTGAGGCAGGAGGATCTCCAGTTCCAAGCCAGCCTGAGGTGTTATGTTAGTAAGATGCCAGCCTTGGCCACAGAGTCAGACCCTTTCTGAAAAAAAACAAAAACAAGCAAACCAGGGAGAAAGAGAGAAACAGTGGGGAACTGAGAACTGTAGCCACGAGGGTACCAGGCTCCTTACTATGTCCATCCTGCACAGGTTGAATGGGATCAGTGTGAGATATCTAGTTGTTTCTTACAGTGAGTATTCCATTCTGTCACAGTGGTTTCTCCTTTAAATGTTCCAGAAGTAGAAAAATGAATTTTCTTTTTTTTTTTCAATGATTTTAGTTGCTTGAAAGATGCTTCCCCTTGTTGGTGTGTATGCTTTAGTGGGTGGGCTTGCCATGCTAGAGATAGAACACAGGCCTAACACACACCAGGTGTGCACTCTGCCACTGAGCTACATCTCATCCAGTGGGCTCCTCACAACTCTGTCGCTGGCCAGAACAGCACCCTGGAATAGAAGCTCCCTGAGACCTCAGTAATTAGTATATCTCATTATCTCTGTCATCCAAATTATGCTTTGCATTTGATATTTCCAAAAGAGCAAATGTTTCGTCACTGTGTTCTGTACAGTATCTAGCTATTTTTTCATAGGGTACCTAAAAAAAAAAAAATCCCTGAAGTGCGTTGATACTACTGCTTTGTATTTTAAAAACTAAGTGTTATCTGGGTAATGGTGGTGCATGCCTTTAATTCCAGCAGAGGCAGGCAAATCTCTGAGTTAGACATCAGCCTGGTCTATGATCAAATTCCAGGACAGCCAGGGCTACACAGAGAAACCCTGTCTCAAAAAAAAAGCAAGAAACAAAAACAAATTAGAAATGTCTGGGCCAGTGATGGCTCAAAGAGTAAAGGTGCTCACTGTGAGTTCACGCTCCAAAATCCATATGGTGGAAAGAGAGAACACTGTCTGCCTACTTCCACACCCCATTGTCACACACACACACACACACACACAAACCACACACCCCACACACACACACACACACACACCCCACACACACACACTCACACACACACTCCCACACACACACACACACAGACACCACACACACAACCCACACCCACACACACACAGACACACACACACACACACACACACACAAACCACACACCCCACACACACACACACACACACACCCCACACACACACACTCACACACACACTCCCACACACACACACACACAGACACCACACACACAACCCACACACACACACACACACACACACTCGCTGACCTGGCGAGTTCTAGGTCAGCCAGGGCTACACAGAAAAACCCTGTGTCAGGGAAATAAATAATAATAATAATAATAATAATAATTTAGAATTTTATTTCATCACCTTTGTTTTTGTTTGGCCCTCACTGCTCCCCATCCAGAGACCTTTGTTATTTGTGTATCTGGAGTCTGTTCCAAGTTCTTCTTTTCTTCATAGTAGATTGTGTGAAAAGGCCAATGTGTGGCTCTCTGGGAGGTGTGCTTGGACTTGTTAGGTAAAAAGACTGTCCTAAGTGTGTAGAGTGGAGAGATGCCTCACTTTTGTTCTTGTTTCATAGGCAGGAGCTGTAGGTAGGGCTAATGGTATACTATGGGGCTGTGCCATGACAACCCTGATCTCCCCTCAGAACACCCATGCCTGTGCTGTTGCCACCCTTCTCTTGTCTGCATTACAGACCGACCCTTCCTGAAGCTGAGACCCTTTCATACAGGTCCTCATGTTCTGGTGACCCACAGCCATGAGATTATCTCATTGCTACTTTATAACTGTAATTTTGCCCCTGTTATGAATTGTAATGTAAATATCTGATATGCGGAATATCTGGCCCTCAAGAATATGCAGTCCCCTAGAGGTCAAGGCCTACAGGTGGCAAACTTATGCCCTAAGCACCATTGCTTGTTCTGCCCCCTCCAGGTCGTCCAAGGAACTGCTTTTAAATTTCACACTGCTGACTGCAGCATTAGTGTGAGTGAAGCTGTTTTTACTGCCTTAGGACTGGAGGGATGCTAGTATTAGTGCTTTTGAGGCAAAAACTCTCCAGTGCCTGTGTTCACAGAGCAGACTTATGGGTTATTGCTGAAGACAAGGGTCCCTATCCATACATCCAGCAATTATAATTACACCAACACCAAACAGTCTCCTAATATCTACTGTGGCCTCATTGTCTGTCCCACATGTGGCCCACCCAAGCTCCTCACTACCCAGAGCTCTAGGCATCCTCCTGCTTCCTGCTCCTGGCCTGATGCCCACTTGCCTGCCCACCACCTCCTAGTGTCTTATTGGTCTCCTGTGTTTGCACAATGACCAGCTGCTTGTCTCCCCTTCTTGCACAGCCTAACACTTGCCACTTAATTAAGCCTCCAATAATCAGTTTTTGTTTGTTTGTAGTGTGTGCGTGTGTTTACTTGCACCATATGTATGCAGCTTATGCAACTTTCTGTGGAGACCAGAAGAGGGTTTTAGACCCCGTGGAACTAGAGTTACAGTCAGTTGTAATACCAGATACTGGTGCTGGGAACTAAACATAGGTCCTCTGCAAGAGCAATATACACCATTAGCTGTCCTGGAACTTGCTCTGTAGACCAGTCTGGCCTCAAACTCAGAGATTCAACTGTCTCTGCCTCCCAAGTGCTAGGATTAAAGGCTTGTGTCACCCCACACCAAGGTAGCTTTATGTACTCTTAATTGCTGAGCTATCTCTCCAGCCCCTCACAGCCAGTTTTACTTAGATATTGGTTGCTTAGACCAAGACACAAAATGACCTCCAAGCCATTCTTTGAGGTCAGGAAGTTCAAGTAAGGGGCTTTGGGACTGTGGGTTAGTGTCTAGGACAGTCACTAACCTACCTGGGATCATTTGCTCTAGGCTCTAATGTACAGAGTTCTGTCACCTATGTCTCTGTTGTCTTCCACATGTCAATGTAGGGGCACATAGTGTCTGTGTTACAAGAGTGGGCTTCATACATGTATCTATGTTACAAGAGTGAGGGCTTCATACATTTCACACATGTTTCCAGGGTAGCATGGAGAGCTTATCATGAGGAATTTTCATTGCCTTCTTAGTTTGAGACTTTACTTTGAGGCTGTGTTTTCCTTATGGGGATATGTGAGGCTGTCAGCCTCTGTTAGTTGTATGGCACAGTGACAGTGGTCATGCATTCCTGGCTGGCATGGCAGATCACTCAGACCTGGTTCTGACAGGCCATGGCCTGCCAGCTCCACATAGCACCTGAAGCTCGGACTGCCTGGAATGGCCAGCATTCCCCTTTCCATGACCCAAAAGGAAGTTGAGGAACTGGTTTGTGGTCACAGGGAAGGCTTGGCATCTTGGCCTGTATATAAACATTGCTGGTGGCACATGCTGAACCCTGCTAAGCATTGGGACTGAAAGTCATGGGCTGGGCCTGCCTGGGGCAGCCATGACACACATGGGCAGGGCAAGCTGCTGGGTGTAGGGTGGAGACTTGGAACTCTGATGGGGCAGAGTGTTGTGATCGCTCACATTCTCTGGAGCCCAGAGCCTGGCAAGTTCAGGAAGTGATTGCCTTTCACCTGCAGCCCTTTCACCTGCAGGTGGCCTGAGAACTCCTCCCTGTGGGCGGGCCCTGCCATTTCCAAGCTCCCAGTTCCCCAAGTGGTCAGGACTCTGAGGCCTGCTAGGCAGGTGGTCCTGGTACTCCACTAAGAGCAGGGAGCTTGGACTGGACCTCTTTGCTCCTAAAGCTAAACTCGTGTTTTTTTTTTTTTTCATTTTTAAAGTAGATGGTTAGGCAAAATGGTCGTGTACTCAGAAGGAAGTCTATATTTTGTTTATTTAATTTTTATAGTTTAGCGAATACTTCTGTAGGACCTTTGAAAGTCTTTTACATTTTGTTTTCAGTTTTGAAGATAAACTGAAAATTAGACTCACAGTGTAATATCCATCTAGGAGCATGGTAGCCAGGCAGGGTTGTGTGTGTGTCTGCTAGTGAAGTAACACTGAAATGCTGGGGACATGCCTGCTGTCTCCTAAAAGGTGGAGACCGCCTCAGGAGTCGTGAGCACTACAGGCAGGTGGTGAGGTGAGAGGTGACTATGAGCAGCCCCTCCCCTCCCAGAAATGCCAGAAACAGGTGAGTGCTGTGACCAGGGCTCCATGGTCATTTTGTGACCTCTGTTTTTAGTAGTTTATGTCATAATTTCAAAAGTTGGTAGTGGGTTCTCATAGACTGCCAGAACATGGAGCCTTTTCTTACCTGGGAAAATTGTGTTGGACAGGGAAAATGGTGCTGCAGAAACTATGATTCACTGGGCTAAGCATGGTATCAGCTCATGCCTTTAATCCTACTCACTCAGGAGGCAAAGGCAGGTGGATCTCTATGAGTTCGAGGCCAGCCTTATCTACATAATGAGTTCCAAGGCTACATAATGAAAACCTGTCTCAATAAATAAATAAATGAATAAAGAAATAAGCTAAGTTTATGGCATAGAGAGGTAGGCCACACACCTTCCATGAACATCAAAGGAAACACATGTCCTAAAGGGTCCTGGGACTGAAAACTGTCCACAGTAAATTCCAGGATAGAGTCCTCAAACCAGCTGTTGTATGTTTTGTGCGGAGCTGGTGTCCTCAGTGGGCTGACAGCCAGCTTTGGCTTTCCCCTCTGCTGCTCCATGCCATCTCTGTCCCTACCAGGGAGTGTCAGTAAGGAGATGAACATAGCATATGTGATCTGGCCCATGAAGGTGATTACATGTACAATTGGCAAGCAAGATGCCCAAGGGGATATGGCCAAAGGACAGAGGGGTCTTCAAGGATGGTTGCTCTGGATCCACTGTGTTCTTGGCTCCAGGCTGCAGGATGCCTGGCAGCCATCCCTCATGGGATCCATTGGTGACTATGTACACAAGTTGGCAATTTGTTTTAACTTGGTTTTGTGGTATGGCTATTTTTATTTTTTCCAAATTGCATGCCTCTTTCCTCAAGGAAAAGATGCCTGCTGGTATGAGTTCTCTTCTCTCCCCAAAGGCATATTCAGGACCCTGCAAGCCAGCGGTTGACATGGAACAAGTCTCCCAAGAGTGTGCTTGTCATCAAAAAGATCCGAGATGCCAGCCTACTGCAGCCCTTCAAAGAGCTCTGCATATACCTCATGGAGGTAAGGCAAACAGAATAGGGCTATGCTCTCGGGGTGATGCATCCTACTCAGGAGTTGGGAGGAGACTTGTCCAGGGTGGCAGAACAAAGGACTTATAGGGCCTCTTAATTAGATGTCTGAAGCATTCTAAAAAAGTCCTTCTAGCACACAGTGCCGGAGGCTGGGAAACACAAGGCAGAAGAGCTGCCTCTGGTGAGAGCATTGTGCTGTATCACATGTTTATGAGGAACCTGCCCCATGGCTGTGCCCCACTCCTTTTTGTTGTTGTTTTGGTTTGGGTTGGGTTTTGGGGTTTTTTTGAAGACAGGGTTTCTCGGTGTAGCCTTGACTGTATTGGAACTCACTTTGTAGACCAGGCTGGCCTCGGATTCACAAAAAGAGATTTGTTTTAGCTTGTGATTCTGGGGATGCAAAGTCCAGGGGCCACCTCCGATGATGGCCATCTTCCCTGCAGAACCCCAAGAGATAGGGGACAGCATGTGGCAAGAGGTAGTGTGTTCTTGTATATGTGTATAAATATCTCCCTATCTCCTGCCCTTTCCCTCTTCCTGTAAAGCCAGAGTGCAGTGGTGTGGCTCTACCCTGATGGGCTTTACTTTCATCGAGGTGCCACTTCTGAACATGAGAAATTAAGTTGCTATCTTCTCAACATCTCAAAATCATACTGCCTTTCAGTACATGACTTGGGGGACAGCTGCCTGATTCCTGAGCCACTTTGGTTAGAAAGTGCCTATTTGGGAAGAGACCTCAGGGATGCCATGAGCCACAGAGTTTCTGACTACATAACAATGAAGTGAGCAGGATGGAAATTACTTGCTAGCTAAGAAAACAGCTTTTTTCATCCATCTGAAAGTGGAAAACCAGCATGAGGTGGGCTGGACTGGTGAGGGCTGTGCATGCTTTGCTTCCAGGAGAACAACATGATCGTGTATGTGGAAAAGAAAGTGCTGGAGGACCCTGCTATAGTGAGTGACGAAAGCTTTGGACCAGTGAAGAAGAAATTCTGCACTTTCCGTGAAGGTGTGCTGTCCTGGGCTCTCTCAACTGGCAGAAGCTGTTAGCGTTCTGGCCTTGTTGGCATCTGTATGCTTGGGCACTAGGGCTCAGTATGATAGCAGTCCCAAGATTTGTGTCTGCTTTCTAGATTATGACGACATTTCCAACCAGATAGACTTCATCATATGCCTTGGAGGAGACGGCACCCTACTCTATGCCTCCTCACTTTTCCAGGTGAGGCTGTGTTTCAGCGTGTTGAGGTGGTATTTGGGTACAATATGAGGAGGCGTTTTCAGAGTATACCCCTATTCTTCATCACACAGCTTCATTCTGGAAGGCCACAAGCTTCTTCGTGTTCTTACACTAAGGCAGTGGTTCTCAACCTGTGGGTCATAACCCCTTTGGGGGTCAAACAACCCTTTTACAGGGGTTACCTAAGACCATTGGAAAATACAGACATTTACATACATTAAGATTTATAACAGTGGCAAAATTACAGTTATGAAATAGCAATGAAAATAGTTTTATGGTTGAGGGTCACCACAGCATGAGGAGCTTCTCCTGGGGTGAGATGAATGGACATGCTCTGACAGTGTGGAGTGGGTGGAGGAGGGAGCTAGTAGTGTAGGGAGACTCTCCCTGACGGGTGACCACATGGTCATAGACCAGACAATCTCAGAGAGATCTGGCACCGCAGAACCAAAGCCCCAGGCTAGTAAGGGCAGCAAGGGAACATTGGAACCTTGTTGGTCTCTCCCTCAGCAAGGTAAAACCCAGTCCGGTGGTGTGCTAGAAGAGTGGGTGTGGTGTAAGAAGATAGTGCCCCTGGTGGGATGCCAGGGCAGAACCCCTCTACCTGTGTGGAACTGGGGGTAGGAGTGGGGGTTGGGGTTCTCCTGGCAAGATGTCATCCTTGCTTTCGGCAGAAGTTTCTTTTTCTTTTTCTGTTTTTGTTTTGTTTTTGGCTTTTCAAGATAGGGTTTCTCTGTGTACCTTTGGAGCCTATCCTGGCACTTGTTCTAGAGACCAGGCTAGTCTTGAACTCACAGAGATCCGCCTGCCTCTGCCTCCCGAGTGCTGGGATTAAAGGCATGCGCCACCAATGCCCAGCTCCGCAGAAATTTCTTATACCTTGAACCTTGGTTTTTTTCTCAGCCCCATTTGTATTTAGGTGGGGCCAAAACCATCTCCATTTTTCTTCTTCCATCCCTTGGGTCTCTGCCATGTCTGCCTACCTTCTAGCCTAGGTATCTCCACAGTCACAGCCTTGTATCTGGTACTGGACACATCTTTCCTATGTGACCAGTGAGCTGGTCTGGTCTTGTTGCTTTTGTTTGTTTATTTTTTGCCCTTCCCACTCTTTTTTTTCATATCTTGGGGAGATGGCACCATCCTGCCCTGTTCTGGCTCTTCCACCTCTTGCCTGGCTCATGCCCACCCATTCCCAAGGCCCACAGCTATTGATAGTTTGGTGGTTCCTGGGTAGTCCAGCAATGCCATCTGGTCTCCTCACCCACAGGGCAGTGTGCCTCCTGTCATGGCCTTCCACCTTGGCTCCCTGGGCTTCCTGACCCCATTCAACTTTGAGAACTTCCAATCCCAAGTGAATCAGGTGATAGAGGGTAAGTTGGAATGTTCTCCATCTCACAAAAGAGCTCAGGGTTTCCCTCCTTGATTAGGTTTTTGTTGTTGTTTTTGTTTTTCAATGGATATTTTGTCTCCAAACCACATGTATGCCTTGTGCCCCTGGAGGTGTGAGATCCTCTGGGACTGAAGTTACAGATGGTTTGGATCCATTGGGTGGGAGCTGGGAATTAAAACTGGGTCTTCTTTAAAAGCAGCCAGTGCTCTTAACCACTGCACCATTCTCCAGCCCCCTTGGTTATTGTTGTTTTTAAATATTTTTCATTTAATGATGCAGTTTTAAGATTTGGGGATTTCTAAATTTCAGATATTTCAAACTCTCCTTACTAAAGTGGGAAATCTGGCAGCACCTGGCTGCTCAGGGTGGCTTTGGTGAAAGGCACTGAAGGTCACTGACATGGGAACAAAGGAGAAGGGTCCCAGCTTCCTTGGAGGTGGTCCCAGCCTCCCTGAGCTGGATCCTGCTGACCCCAGGGAATGCCGCTGTTATCCTGAGGAGCCGGCTGAAGGTCAGGGTGGTGAAAGAGATCAGAGACAAGAAGATAGCCATCCATAATGGCCTCAGTGAAAACGGCCTGGACACAGAGGGCGGAAAGCAGGCCATGCAGTACCAGGTCTGTGGAGAAGTCCCCAGCTAACTAACCTCACCTCCCAAGGAGGAGATCAGGGTGGGATGAGATGAGCTCGGGGCTGGAATCCCTGACACCAGGATAAGAAACTTCTGGTGAGCCTCAAGTGCTTGTGGTACTGCCATGACCCTGAGTGCAGCACCATGGCCTTGCCATCTCTTCCAGGTCTTGAATGAAGTGGTGATTGACAGAGGCCCCTCCTCATACCTGTCGAATGTTGATGTCTACCTGGATGGACACCTTATCACCACTGTTCAGGGCGATGGTAAGACCCGTGTTGCACCTGGGGACCCAAAAATCCCCCCTGGGCCCAAGAGTGATGCTTATACCCTGTCCCTGCCAGGAGTGATCGTGTCCACCCCGACGGGCAGCACGGCATATGCAGCTGCAGCTGGGGCTTCCATGGTCCACCCCAACGTGCCGGCCATCATGGTTACACCCATCTGCCCCCACTCGCTGTCATTCCGGCCCATCGTGGTCCCTGCAGGGGTCGAGCTGAAGGTCAGAGCAGTCTCCCTGTATCTCCTCTGGTCTGTGAGTCTTTTGACCCTGAGCCAGCAAAAAGCAGTTGTCACTACCTCAGCACCTGCCACCTCCAAAAGGCGCACTCCCCAGCGCCCTTCCATTTGAGCCCTGCCTGTTGGGTAGCTTTGCATCTGTCCATAGTCTCTGATGTCACAGAGAGCTGGCCAGCCTTCCATGCAGGGCTCATAGTTGCAAGAGGTAGATTTGGTCCCCATTGGGAGGGAATGGCATAAGTGTCCCCATATGATGAAAGACCCCGACTGGTGTCCTCCACAGAGCCTCCAACCTGGTCTGTGGGCTGACCTTTGAGTGCCTAGCCTCAGCCTCATTTTTCTCTAACTTCTACCACAGGCCACTCAGGCTGGTTTGTTCCTACCATGAGTTCTAGTGGTCATATCTACAGGAGGTAATGACTGTTCTTAGAGCATCAAAATAAGGCCAACATTGTGCCATACAGGAGCTCTGGAGGACCCAGAGTGGGCTGGGAACACATCCTTCATGCCTAGAGCTCACTTTTGTTCCTGCTCCACCCCTTTAGATTATGCTGTCCCCGGAAGCCAGGAACACTGCATGGGTGTCTTTTGATGGACGGAAGAGGCAGGAAATACGCCATGGAGACAGGTGTGGGGCTACAATGCTGGGGCCTGGGCTGACCTTATCTTCTGTCATAGGATGTTAGTCACTAGTGAGTGGCCTATTACAAAGCATGGTCATGTGTAGATGCAGTAGGCTTGTAGCAAGGCCCTGTCCCTTGGTTCTTGTTATAAACACAGAGACAGAATTGGTCTCAGCCTAGATCTAGGATGAGTCACCTCCAGCAAGGCTAGGGTGCTGCCTGTGACCTGCAGTACTTGAAGATGAAAGATCCACAGTCAGCTATCAGTCCACTCACTGCACGGTCTCAGAAATAGCCAGGTGCACTGACATGGGCTAGCCCCTTCATCTTCCTGGATGTGTGGGTCTATTGCCCAACAGTTAAGTGTGGCCTACCACAGGACCTAGGACAGGCCTGTAGAACTGCTGTGGGATTTCCCTGGTCATCTACCAGTCCCCACCCTGCCTTGTCTCAGGAGAAGTTGCCCAGATCCTGGGAGTCAGAGACCTGGAGTCAGGCCGCCAGTACAGTGAAAATAGGGACAGGGCCTGTGTCTGGGTACCCCTAAGAATCTAAAGTAGATGCTGGCATTTAGACAAAGTGAGGCCATGGGAGAGGGCCTTGGCCTAGGGAGAATAGCTTGTTACTTAAAAAGGCACCCAGCTTACCCAAACGTATTTCTCTTTCCCTTCAAAGCATCAGCATCACCACCTCCTGCTACCCGCTGCCCTCTATCTGTGTGTGTGACCCTGTGAGTGACTGGTTTGAGAGCCTTGCCCAGTGTCTACACTGGAATGTTCGAAAGAAGCAAGCTCACTTCCCAGAGGATGAGGATGAGGACCAGGACGAGGAGGACAGCTAGGCCTCACTTCCCAGCCTCCAACCTGAGCCCTCAAGCCCTTGGGGGCTTTCTTCCCTCTCTTGCTCTCCCGCTGGCCTTCTGGCTGACCTGGCCTTGACAAACCACATGGCTGTCAGGCATCTGTGTCCTGCCTGCCTTGCTGGGAGAGCTTGGGTCTGCCTTTTGAAGAACACATCAGCTTTTTAATGTTTTTAAACCTTTTTCATTTCTAAAGAAGCAAAATAAGAACTGGGCTGGGTGTCCTACATCTCTCCCATGGGCCCCCTGAGATCCCAGGTCAGGAATTCCCATAAATCAGTCTGTTGAAATTCTGAGGGGGGTCAAAATGAATTGATCTTCCTTTTGATATTGGAATAAATGTCTCAGCCAGAAATCTTCCTTTAGCTGCAGTGCTTTTCCCCAGGGCCTGTACCTTTCCCCTCTGCAACTCTTGGGGTCACTTGGCAGCTTTGCCATAGGTTGGCAAGGCGTGTCATGGCTAGGTGCCTCTGAGTCTGGCCCAAGGCCTCTGACTACGTTCCAGAGAAGACAGAGGCAACACTTTGCACAGCCATCGGCAACATCACATTCCTCATAGCAGGGCAGCAGCTCCTGAGATGTTTTAAATCCTGTGTACACTTTTTAGAGATTATTTTAAACTTTCTGAAGTGATTATGTACATATTTTCTTGTACACGCCTTGTGAAGATTTAGAGGGGACTGCCTGCTGTCCAGTGTTTACATTGTGTGCAGCCCAATGCAGACAGTCAGGACAGGGCTCTGTGCTTCCACTCTTCCCTTACACAGTGGCCACAAAGGTTTTGAGACCAACTCACTCTTGATATCAGGCCTGTGGGCCTGCCCTCCTTCCACAAGAGTCCAAGGTTTGCATCTGAGCAGATATCTCCATATCTCCCTGTGTGCAGACGTGTATGTAGCATAAGTGCACACATAGGAGCCACATAGGCCCTGAAGCCTTTGTGGTATCAGTGGTCAGCCAAGGTGCCTCAGTTAGGTCTCTGCTTTCAGTTTTGTCTTCACCTCCTGTGGCGGAAGTAGGAAGGGAGGGCTGCCCGTTCTTCAACTGGCTTCCAGGGTAGTCATGCTGCTCAAAAAGGTTTTGCCGGCTGCTATAGGGCTGACCAGACTGAGCTTTCTTCTGCTGTTAAAGTCAGGACCTACTGGGCCCTTGGTGACACACATCAGCACCTGTGGAGCCCTATGTGGTCTGGCTTCAGTGCTGTTAAGCTGTGGTAGCTTATCCCCAAGAGCTGTGCTATTCATCTGTGATTGTGAGCACAGTAGGCCTCTGCTGTGATCCAGAGGAGAGCAGGGTCTGGAGCATGGGTCATGCATCTAAAAAGCAAGTGTTGACAAGTCTAGAAGCAAGCTGCTACCAGACTGATCTAGAACACATGGAGTTTTCACGTAAATTCTTAATGTTTCATATTAATATCTTAAAATTTGTTAATTGTTAATGAAGGCCTTATTACTATTTTCAGATTCTTTCAATAAATAAACTTGTTTTAAAAAAACAGGTTAAGTAGCAGCTTTCTCTCTCTTTGTAACCAATTCAAAGTCTCAAGGTCATCCAGCATGGTCTCCAGAGGCTACCTTATCCACACAAGATACCCTTGCCCTCACTGGGTTGGCCAAGTGCCCACCCTAAAGCAGTATAGCCTTTAATCCCAGCACTCGGGAGGCAGAGGCAGGGAGGGCTCTGTGAGTTCCATGACAGCCTGGTCTAGAGAGTGTGTTCCAGGACAGCCAAGGCTACACAGAGAAACCCTGTCTCAAAAAACAAACAAAAATATATACAACATGGCATCATGGGAACTGGGAGCACAGCCACCTCTGTAAGCAGAAGTCTATCCTGCCTGGTCCTGCAGCCCTTTAGTCCCAAATAAATACACAGAGGCTTCTATTAATTATTAACTGTTTGGCCGATGGCTCAGGCTTATTTGGCTAGGTCGCTCTTAATTATTAACCCATTTCTATTAATCTGTGTATCTCCACTGGTGATGTCTGGGCCACTTTCTTCCTCAGCGACTACATAGCATCTCCCAGAATTCTCATCTGGTAGCCCTGCCTATACTTACTGCCTGGCTACATCCTGCCTGTCCATTGGCCAAACCAGCTTTATTCATCAACCAGTAAGAGAAACATATATTCACAGCTACAGAAGGACATCTCCCATCACCTCTTTTCTGTCTAAATAAAAAGGAGGGTTTAACATAGTAAAATTATATATAACAAAACAGTTACCAAGCAAGAACTACAGTTAATATTTAGTCCACTAACATTTGACATAATTTTAAAATTATCTTTGTGAGTCTAAAGTTTATGTGTAACTTATCTTTTATCATATCTAAGGAAAACCATAACTGTCTTCAACTCCGTCAAAGACCCTATAAGGATATTATATAAACTCTAGAATTGACAAAGACATCTTGATGCCTGGACAGTTACCCAAAGTTCTATAATGTTGCGGCATCCATCTTTAGCCTGTAGGCCTAGAAGTAAAGCAGAAAATTTGAAACTGTCCCACCTATATTGGCAGAATGTCTGACAGACTCTTCCATGAGGCAGGAACCCTGAAGGACTGTCCCATATTGTTCTGGCAAATTCAGCAGTCACTTTCCTGTGGGCCCTGCATGTCCAGTTTATACAGCATACAGTCAAGCAGTCCAGGCAAAAGCAGTTTGTTCCCCTAACTGCTAGTCTTGCCATATTGAAAGCAAATTCCATGGGCTCCTACGATGCTCATCTTCCTCTTGAAGTAATTGGTGTTGCCAGGAGCAAATGTGTCTCATTGTCATGAAAAAACCATATAAACTATTTTAAATGCCATATTCTATAGGTTTTTAGAAGGTTTGGGTATTTTGGAGGGGTTTTTTGGAGTTTTTTTTTTTGAGACAGGGTTTCTCTGTAGCTTTGGAGGCTGTCATGGAACTCGTTCTGTGGACCAGGCTGGTCTCAAACTCACAGAGATCCACCTGCCTCTGCCTCCCAAGTGTTGGGATTAAAGGAGTGCACCACCACTGCCCAGCTTTTGGGAAGGTTTTGAAGAATGCCTATCCATTTGAAATATATCTCTGTGTATCTAGAAAACCTAACTAACACAAGTTTTGACTATTATTTATAGGTGACTACCTATAAATTTGTAGTTGGTTTTTTTGTTTTGTTTTTTTTGTTTTTGTTTTTTTGTTTTTTTCAAGACAGGGTTTCTCTGTGTAGCTTTGGAGCCTATCCCGGCACTCATTCTGGAGACCAGGCTGGCCTCGAACTCACAGAGATCTGCCTGCCTCTGCCTCCCAAGTGCTGGGATTAAAGGCGTACGCCACCAACGCCTGGCTAAATTTTTAGTTTTTTAAAAGATTTATTATGTATACAGTGTTCTGCCTACAGGCCAGAAGAAGGCACCAGATCTCATTATAGATGGTTGTGAGCCACCATGTATTTGCTGGGAAATGAACTCAGGACCTTTGGAAGAGCATCCAATGCTCTTAACCACAGAGCCATCTCTCCAGCCCCCTAAATTTTTATTTTTAATTATACATGTTTTTATGGTTTTTCGAGACAGGATTTCTCTGTAGCTTTGTAGACCAGGCTGGCCTCAAATTCACAGAGATTCACCTAGTGCTGGAATTAAAGGCGTGTGCCATCACTGCCCTATGCATTACATTTTTAAATGAGCTGGATAAACACAATATCTAAACAAGAATAGCAATATACATATAGCAAAATTGACCTTAAATTTGTATCAATAAACCAAAATCCAAATCAATGTATTCATTTCTATCTCATATTCCCTTTTTTTCTTTAGAGATTGACTGTGATCATTAACCATTTGTAACCAACCTCATTTAAATGAAAAACATTTATAAACAATATTTGGAAATATGGGCATAGTTTTCTCCAAAGAGCTTCCTGCTGTTTGGGGGCACTGTCAGTCCCAAGGGGATCCTGAGAAAACCCAGTACCCTGGCCAAATCCTGGCTGTAGTGGTCTGTGTGGCTGCATCATCTCAGCTGTTTTAGATGTTGGATCACCTAGGCCACTGTTTTAGGGTGTCATGTTTGATCAAACCATATTAGCCTGGAAGGAATCCACAGCTTTCCATCTTCTGTGGAAACAAAAGCAGAACCTCTTTTCCAAAGTAACATGTCCTTAGATATAAAATCCCAGCAGCATTTATGATCAAATGTCTTTTAGCACCTGTTGCTCCTACCTCAGTAGTCAAACAATTCAAAGACAACATAATAACATACAGTATCCAGACTCTCTCGGTATTTTCATCTTTACATGGCCTTTTGTTTTTTGTTTTTTACTCTTCTTTCTTTTACTTTTTGGTTTTTTGAGACAGGGTTTCTCTGTATAACTTTGGCTATCTTTGAACTCTGTAGAACAGACTGGCCTTGAAATCACAGAGATCCACCTGCCTCTGCCTCCCTAGTAATGGGATTACAGGTGTGTGCCATCATGCCTAGCCACTCTATTTCGTTTTTAAGGATTTTTCTCTATCCTTTTTCTTTTCTCTCCCAAGTCTACTGTATTTTTAAACATGCTGTAAACCCTTTAGAGGTTTTTCTTCATCTGAATCAGTCTTTATTGTATATCTCTATCTTTTTCTGCCAAACTGCATGGCTAGGATTAAAGCAGAGGTTTTTGGCTGCTGGCTCCATCCAGTTAGGCTTTTCAACTTGGCAGGGGTACGTTTACTGCCAGCTCTGGGAGCTGTACTCACCGCCTCGATTCTGGTCTAAGCCGCCATCAAGCAGCTTGAAGCACACTGCCCATAAACCTTTTTCTTCTGTATAGTAAAAGCTAAATCTGCCATGAAGCATGCTGTGTGGCTTGGAGACAGCCTCTGTGTACCTTAGTGGGAATCTGCCATGCTGTGCTCATGCCTGAATGCCACAGCGTCTCTGCACCATGGCCTGCATGAGACTGTAAGACTAGGAAACCCAGAGTGACTCCATTTCTGTGCATTCAGAACCCCCTTTTAAAGCTTTTGTCAGGTTTTACATGGAAATTCTTACCAAACATTTGGGCACCATATGTGGACAGAAGTTAGCAGTGTCCAAAGCTGGGATAGAAAGGTAACTAACTACCAAGGCCAAAGACTATGGCCATACAGCTTCCCAGGTGTAGTGGCCTCAAGTCAGGCTGCACCGTCATCAGGAAGAGCACTGAGATGAAAGTGTAAGTGAGTCTCAGGGTCCAAGTGCTGAAGCCACCCACCATCTATCTAAAGACCTGGTCTAGGTCGAGGTAGCTCTAAGCCAGGCAAATCCCAACCAGCCCCTAGCAGCCTGGATGCTGTGGGCTCTGGGATACCAGTCTACTGCCTGTGTGTCAAGAGCTTGTTGAGTGTGAGAAAAATAATGTGATCACTGAAGTGCCTGCTTCTATGCTGGCCTGAACATGCTTAGGACCCAGCACAGTTCTCAAGACAAACACAGTCTTGGGGTGAATAAAGGGCCAGCCCAGGCCTCAGATGGTCATTACCTGCTCTGTTTAGGCCCACTTTGCTTCCTAGGACAATGACCGCGTCAAGACTCACAGGTTCACTTTTGGGTAGGTCCACATACCTTTTACCTTCCTACCTCACCACCATGAGCACTGACCCTGAGGGTGCTAATCACAGATTCAGTCAGAAGCACTCAGGAAGCCATCAACAGCAAGAATGCCTGTTGTTTGCTGGAACCTTGTGAAGTACCTGGGGCCTCACCTTGTGAAGGAGGAGTGCAGCAGTTCCTGAAACTGCTCATGGTGTGTGACAACCTCACATTACTCAGGACCTATAACTCAGCCTCCTTGTCCAGAGACTCCATCCCTTCCATCGTCTAAAGGACACTTTGAGGCTGGGAGTCAGACCAAGCACTGCCCAAAGACTGAGCTAAAGGGTGGCTCATTGGGAGTAGTAGAGACCTGCTTCCAGGGCCACCCATACTTCTGGAAATGGCTGTTGACCTTGGACCCTTGACCTTCTTGGCTTTAAGAAGCAAGGATATGAGAGGGGAGGTCAGAGTTGAGAGAGGATCACAGCAGCCCTTTAGACATTGCTGGAGGCCTAGACATGGTGTCCACTCAACGTTTAACCCCAGGCACACCTTTAATCCCAGCATTTGGGAGGTAGAGGCAGGCAGATCTCAGTGAGTTCAAGGCCAGTCTGCCTGGTCTACAGAGCAAGTTCCAGGACAGCCATGTGTAGTGACATCTTGTTTTGCCAGTGGACTTATGGTGGTGGCCGCATCCTAGGGGTGTGGCTCCAAGTGTGTGGACATGACCCCTTATAAGGAAGAGAAGGGGCTGGCTCACTCTCTAGGGTTGTGGTCGGAGTATCCGGAAGGGCAGAGACTGCATCTTCAGGAGCAGGAAGACCGAGGCGGTTGTTTATCGCCATTGTGTGAGGGCTCTCCTAATAAATACCTGATAATCATTTATCTGGGTTTTCCTTTAAACCCACCTTCAGCCACAGCTACACAGAGAAATCCTGTCTTGAAAAAAAAATCAAAAAAGTA